CACTATTCATTGTATATACCGGCCTTGTTTTCCCTGCTGAATAAGCCACACCACTTCACAACACCTAATTACCATTCATTACATGTCAAGGCTACCGCACAGCTCCCTCAGTCTATCTCATCCAGTATCTCATATCTCTCTCGCATGTCATGTCTCCATTTGTCAGTAATTATGCGATGGTGGAGTGTTGCATGAAATCAGAGAATGAAGCGATAGCAGCCCTGAGCTTCTCTCCAGGCTTTCAGACTCTCCAACAGATGGCAGTGTGAATCGCTCTATCGGCACAGGCCAGCTCGGGATGACTGTGTGTGAATTAATGACATTCATAAAGTAAAGCAGATGCCTTGCCTCTTTTCTCTTGAATTTCTGCTTGAGGGAGAGTCAGAATCAGAAAAATATTTAGTATTTCAAGCTGTATGAAAGTGAAAAATCAGTGTGTTTTTTGTGTATACTCACTGAAACACATTATAATGATGCAGTTATGTGTTTCTCACTGTACACCCAGTGAAATATTCAGACCCAAGGCACTGAAGAGCTATATTCTGCATCCTTTATAAACATTTGGCATGCATCTCTGGAAACTTTTGCATCCTCAGCAGCATAAGAAATGAAGTTTAAACAATGCTTGGCTGCAGAATCTTTGCAGAGAGTCTCCAGTAAGGTTTAGAAAGCAAACACATGCCAAATCTGGATGTATGACGTAATGTGAGTCTGACATGTGCTGTTGTCTGGTCTTGTTTTTATACTTGATGCTTTTATTTCCCTTTGTGCTGCAGCTTTAGTGTCGAAGGGGAAAAAAAGTGCCCTGCAGGGATAATAAAGTTAATCTCATCTCTCCTGTTTCATCTTATCTTACCGTGAATTTGGTTTGACTTGGTGTAACTGATATAACTTAACTGAAGCACCAGAAATACACCGCACCAGCTGTTGCCATGATACATTTAGTTTACTTTGCAGAACAAACGGTGACAGTTAGGCTCATGGTGACTTTTACCCAGTGGTGTCACTTTGCTGTTTACTCATTTCAGCTCTTTATTACTTTTCCTGTATTACTGTCTACCCTACAGCGCTCTTTGGCTACAGTTAATGTCCTGACAGAAATGCTGTCCCTCATTACGCTCCTTGTTTATTTGTTCTTTGCTAGGTGACAGGCAGACTAGCACACTGTGTACACACTGTGTGCATGTTTGTTTGTCGGCTTGTATTTGTTGCAATGTACTAGATACTAGACAAACAGCCCCAGGGGAAGGCAGGAAGGTGGTCAGGAAGGGTGTTCCTGTGTGAACAGGAGCTGTGTGTCCTCCCCACTGTTGTCTCTGTACTTTATGTCTCCACCAATGACTGGAAGTACATGACATACAGTTCAAAGATACCGTAGATAATGCACCTGTGTTGCTTATTAAAGTTTTCTCTGTGAATTTAATTTTTAATTTCATTAAGGACAAATTATACAATGAATTGATTAATAGTAATAAAAAAAAGATTAATAACTACTGAATAAAATCATCAGTTGCATCCCTTTTTATTATGTATTTTTCTGGAGTCCAAGAGAGATTAGTCTTTCTTTAGTGAACAAAAACGTTCGATTTTATTTTTATTTTATTTTTTTCAGTGAGCTCAGAGAAAAGAAAGTGATCTCCCACATAAACTAACTTTTTATTTATAAATACTGTGTATGTCTAAATTGACTAAAGCGACTGTACTTAAAAGACACTTGTGGTCTGGTGCTTGTGACTGTGTCAGCCCTGCCTGTGACTGTCCCATGTGTTGTCTGTGGTCAGAGGGAGGGTCGTGGACAGCTGGAGCTTCACCTGTCACTGGATCACATGCGTTTATATGACACAGCAGTGGTGACACCCAACTCTGGCGTTTAAACACAACGCAGGATGAGCGAGATAACAAAACCCCCTTACCAATACAATACCCCTTCAGTAAATGCCAATTAAGAGAACCACATGTAAATTACACAAAAATTATGAAAGCAGCTCCACAAGTAAACCGTATTTAATTAAATACATACTAGCAGCATTTGTCAACTTTATAGACTGCATAAAATTTTCGAATTTCGCAAAAAAGGAAAAAAAAAAATGATCAAACAATAATTTGGCAGCTGTATCTCTGAGAGCCCCCTGGGGGAGGTAGGTAGGTAGGTAGGTAGGTAGGTAGGTAGGTGGGTGGATGGGTTGGGTTGGGTTGAGTTGGTTGGTTGATTGGTAGGTAGGTAGGTAGGTTAGTTGGTTAGAAAACAGGTAGGCTGGTGGGTTGGTTGGTTGGTTGGTTGGTTTGGTAGAGAGGTAGGTAGGTAGGTGGGTAAGTAGGTAGGTAGGGGGATGGTTGGGTTGGGTTGGATTGGTTGGTAGGTAGGTAGGTAGATTAGTTGGTTGGTTGGCAGGTAGGTAGGTAGGTTTTGTTGGTAGGTAGATAGGTCGATAGATAGTTAGGTCTGGGTTGGTTGGTTGGTTGGTTGGTTGGTTGGCAGGTAAATAGGTAGGTAGGTTTGGTTGATAGGTAGATAGGTCGATAGATAGATAAATGTCACACCCAGACAGTTGTCATGACGTGGAAATTACCTATAGTATTTTGTGTGTGTGTGTGTGTGTGTGTGTGTGTGTGTGTGTGTGTGTGCGCGCACCAGGCTGTAAACATGTTTTTTTTCTGCTGTAAAGTTTGCTTTTTCAACATGGGTGTCTGTGGGGATTAACTCACTCCTGGAGCCAGCCTCAAGTGGCCATTCAAGGAACTGCAGTTTTTGACTTTGCTTCATTTGTCAGCCTCGGAGGTTGCTGCTTAGTCAGTCTTAATTCCCATCTTATGCATCATTTTCAGCTTTCAGAGGTGCCAAAAAGTAGCTGCAAGAATTGCTTGAGCATCAGTAGTAAGCACAGCAACATTATGTAATGTGGCAAAAAGAAAAGTCTCACAAATTATGACAACACACAGTACAGTGTGTAAGAAAGTGTGTCAATAGGAACAGTGGTCACAAGTAGACTGTCACCAATGTCACCAACACTGACTGACTCGTAAAAGGATATTTGCATAACAGACCGTAGAAACAGCAGCCTTAGAAATAACCCAACTCAACTCAGATTGTCTTTCTTTCTCTCTTACTTGGCCCACTCTCACCTGCTTTTGCTCTTTGTCATGTGCCACCACACCATCTCTTTAACTCACATCCAGTCTTGGAAACACATACAAGGAAATGTACACTTGCAACAGCTTCAGTCACCTTTGCATCTCTCACCCACATCCATCCCCAGAAGGCAAACACATATACACAATCATTGGCAATACATAAGTGGGGTGTGTTTTCAACACGCCTGTCTAATAATGTTTTTTTTCCTCTGTGGGTCCCCTGGGCCATTCCTTTCAGAAAACACAGCAGGAGGAACTCCTGATCCATTTTAAGCTCCAACGAGAATGTCGATAAGTCTGTAGATTACTGCCCAACATGTTTATGATAGCCTATTATTCTCTAAGCTTTATCCGGGCCCAGCGCGTGCTTCGTCTACTTAGCACAACTATTTAGGTCATGGTACAATCTCAGAGGAAAGCAGTGTGGATGGTGAAATATCAGGAAACCTCAGCAATAAGTGTCAGAATGAAGCAATTCTTGCTCCATTGTACTGTATATCTCTGACCAAATAGTTATGTTATAGCACAGTTCACATGTAAGTAGTCAAGCCAGTGTACTACACATGACCTTATACATGACCTCAAGTTCACTATGTGTGTTATCTTTAACTGTAGATGCGCACGACACCAAAACATACATTTTGTGGTTATGACATCTAGAAACTTGACTCATCTAAAAACCTGAAACAGAGATTTTTGCTCGCAGAAAAAGCGAAAGACATTTATTCGTCTGGAATCTAACTTTTGACAGACATTTTGACAGTGCTCCATTATTTATAACTTATGATTATTGGCATCCTGTGATGTGATTTCATACTTTTCCGCGACACAATCTGATTTATTCCTCCTATTATGGCTCATATTTCAACAACAATAATAGCTGCTAAATGTCCGGCTCTGCCATAAAAACGTCCGGGCCATCAGGCACACACACTAAAAGATGGGGAGAAACAGAGGCCGTACCCTTAAGCCTATGAAAATGCCATTGATGTTAACTATCTGACTGTGCCCTGCCAGAAATACCGCAGTTGTTTCGCTATCAGCATCTAGTAGAGACAGGAGTCTGAATCTGTCCGTTCTGCCCGGTGCGTGAGATGTTATGGCTCTTTGATATGCTTTGCTGTTTAGGCTTTGATTTACAAAGCGCCATCTTTATCATTTTCCCCTGGTTTCTTGAAGCCGTTGGAGCCATCAGAGGATAGTGGTTTGTGTGTGTGCTGTGTAAGTACTTAAGGGGGGAAAATAAATAAGTTCAGAGGTAAAACTGAGGCCAAGGCTGTGAAGACAAGAAACCTCTTTGAAGTTCCACAAGTGTGCGCAGTCAGCCTGCGTGCCTACTTGTAAGCATGAACACGAGTGTGTCCTGGTGTGTACGTGTGCCGATGTCCTCTCTGTATTTGAATGTCACCAGCCAGTCTCTTATCTGTTTACCTGTATCACTCAGATGTGGCCTTTTATCTGCATTCACATCATGGTTAAGCCGGCTGCGCCCTGTCGGCGATGTCTCTGTTGGGCGACACACCTGTGTTTACAGTTGGAAAAGCATGTAAACAACAGCAGCCTGTATGTATGTGTGTGTGTGAGTGTCTGTACGCCCACTCCTGGATCATATGGCTCAACAGCTTTTGTAATGAGTGGCTTTAGCAGGTAGACGGCGACTGGCAGACTACCATGTCATTATACCCTGCACTGCTCTGTCATTGGCGTTGCTACGATATTAAAGGCAGATGGATACGAAACAAAAACTCGCTGACCTTCTTTGTTTGTTTCATAACACAGGTCTACACTGTATTTAAGTTCAGCGTGTTTATACTGGAGGCATTCAGCTGACCTAACCTGTTTGTCTTCTGTCATTGTGTTAAATCCAGGTGCATAAGATGGATGAGAAAGTGGACTCGGTCCTGCGGATCCTGACGGAGCAGTTTCCACCGAAGCTGGAGCTGACGTCCAAGCCGTCCATCCGCAGGGTGACCATTCAGAAATGCATGGGTGCTAGCATCGACGAGGAGCTCTGATGTCGCAGCGATGGTCACGCCGGGTATGATGCTCTCATCACCAAAGGAGAATTAAAGGACCAGGAGTTCACATAAACAGCCTAGCCCCACCCATGGGGGGCTAGCCTGCAAATAAAAAGGGGACTCAGTCTTCCAAACCCCCTCCCTCTCTTCCATATCCACATTTTCTCATTGACTTTTTACCACTGAGAAGAGAACAACTTTTTGTCGACTTGCTCTGGGACATGAGGGCAAGAGCACCACGGAGCACGGTGTGGAAAGGAGGCTGACTGAACTCTTCCTTCTGATGATTGTTGGCCCTGCTTGGGTCTTTTTGTTGTTGTTGTTGTTTTTGTTGTTGTCTAAATGTAGCTTTCTCTTCTGCACCAGCATTGTGGGCTCTCAGTCTTCCCCCTGCAGAACACAGTCATTCAAGCAGTGACACGCTACATGAATTTATTTCACTACATTAGCCTCATAATCACACTACTCAGATAATGTTAATTTATGTGTGGCCTGTCACTGAGCTGCATTCCTCCACTCCAAATATTATTCCAAAGCTAACTAACCCAGTAATGAAGTCGTAATGCAATCAAAGCACTCGAGTTCCCCAAAGACACAGAGAAAAACTGAGAGTCCAGCCATGGCAGAGGCATTCCTCAAATCCTTCTGATTATCTTGGCACCATCCACACCCAGTACACAACAGGCTTATTTCCATAGCCACATATCCATCTAGCCTAACTGTACTTAGGCTGCGGCGGGTGTTTGTTAGTAGTGATCGAATAACATGGGGAGGGAAGGGCAGATTATCTGTTGACTTTGCCCTGCGTTTCGGGACCGGAAGGCTGGAGTAAAAGAAACGGGACTAAAGAAATGTATCAGGGGTGGGTGGCTAACATGGTGCTGATTTATAGCTACACTGATGCTAACGAAAATAGCTGAACTGGGCTGAAGTCTCTCACTTTGCTCCAAGATTTTCACGGAGAGATTTCATGCGTATATCAATCTCAAACACTTTTAGCAGCACCACTACTCACACCACCACCAGGACCACACTTAAAACCCTCTATTCCCCTCTTCAGGGGGCTCACACTGCTGTGTGCAATTTGAAATAAATTTGCCCCATTAAAGCTCTGATTATTTTTTCTCTCCGGAGCTAATTAAGTGCTGAATTCCTGGTAAGGGGAGATTACTCACTGTGAGTGACTAATGAAAAGAAACACTGGAAAATGTGCAGAATTTAAACAGTAAGCTATGAGGAGCAGGCGCACTAATTCTGTGTGAAAGCTTTGGAAATATCAGGCTACCACTGAGAGCGCACGTTTGAAATAAAAAAAGACAATGCTCTCACTTTGTTCCCATACACGTAGTATTTATCTGACAGGACGCCGGGGCATGTAGGAAGTAGAAAATAGAAAATAACTCAACTATGTAGCTACTGTATGAAAGGCCTCTCATAATTATAGCATGCACGTTCCTGAAGAGACGGATGCACACACACACACACACACACACACACACACACACACACACATACACACACACACACAAAAGAGGGGTGAACAAGGGAAGGGGAAGGAGGAGAGGCCTTCTCTCTGCACTAGTATATATTTTCATATTTTTGCGGTGGTTAAAATAATAGCTATTATTTATCTTACATCAAATAAAGTGGTTGTATTTTAAAGGCACTCTAATTTTGTGACAGACCTTGATACATATCCGCCTGTATTCTCCTGTACAGTTTTATAAGAGTTGTAAATAGAAACATTGCCTTATCGTACTGTATTTATTATCATGTGGAAAGATCAACCTCGAACATATCTGCGAGATGGAGCGATGAGAAGCACAGAGGGTAAGGCTCCTGTTGTACAGACGGATGGAAATGATTGTAAATGATATTCACGCACACCCTCTGCACTGTAGCGCTGCTGTAAATAATAAAACTCCATTTCATTTATGCTCTGGCCTGCTCTCTTGGCTTGGGAGGAATTTGATTACCAGCTCATCTATTCCATAATTTGCTTTCGTTGGAGGGTGAAACCTGTCTTACAGTTTTTCGGGGCCGTTTGTTCAAATCTCGAGCCGAGCCGGGTCAAGGTAAACCATTGGCCGGAGTTTCCATCCAAATAAAATCTCAATTCCTCATTTCACTAAATTCCTTTCACACTGCAATCACCACGAAGGGGGAAGAGAAAGAAAAAATAACACGTTCACCGCACCTACTTTGAACTTCAATATTCCATAACCCATTGAGCGAGGCATGCAGAGGAAAAGGAGAATATGTCTCATATTACCACTCAATTATATCTGCCTTCAAAGGCCAAAAAATACTGGGGATGTCCCAAGATCAGCACGGTCCAGCGCCGAGAGAGAGAGAGAGAGAGAGAGGGAGAGGGAAGGAAGGAGGGAGGGTCGTCCCTGGGGGGAGGGGTGGACAGGCGGGGGAGTAAGAGAGAAAAGGAGGAGCGGCAGGAGGAGGACAGCAGGAGCATAAGTGAGCTGGAGAAGAGAGCAAAGCCATTTTCAATTAGCCAGAGAGACTGCATGGGCCGCAGGGCCGCGGTGCTCCGCTGCCTTTTGTCCTCCTCTGGTTTCTATCACTACTGGGGGATTTTGGCAGAGAGCAAGAGAGAGGGAGTAAAGAAGGAAAGAAAGAAAGAGAGACCCCATGGCTACCTCTGTCTGCAGAGGCCGCTCTGGGTCACCCCGTGTTCCTCTTTCATCTCAAGACGAGACAGAGAAGAGAGAGACTCCCACTTCAAAAGACAGTTTGATCTCAGAAGTACACGGGAGCACAACCTAAAAGAGGATCTGAGGAAGCAGTTAAAAGAGGAATATAAGGGACGCACTGTCACAGACGCTGGACAGTGAGATCTGGCGATCCCAGAGTCTGCGCAGAGGTGGAACTCATGCTAGGTCATGAAACGCTAGACTCTCTGAGCTTTGTCGATCGTCCATGTCGTCTTTGATCCTGCCACCTGAGCCACGCTCAGAATAGAACAGGACTTCATTATGCTACTGAAAACAGGGCAACACAGAAAACCTGTACAGTGGTGCTGATACATCTGACATGTAAAATAAAAAAAATATAATCAGCTGTAAAAATGATAACATACCTCAAAAGACATGGACTTTTAGTATTGTTTGTATTACAGCTGAATCAAAGCAACATGTGCATTTCTGCCGAATCCTGTTTCTGTAAAATATAAATCTTCACTCCTGTTACAGCTCCTGAAACTCTACACTGTTCTTACCAGTCATTGTCAGACACAGCAGGCGGCTGAAATATCTCTGATGAAACCATTGTACACTTACTGACCAGCACTGCCAGACCTAGCAGACCCCCACCCCCCCACCCTCCACCATAACCATCAGTGCTTTAGCACAGGGGTGTCAAACATACAGCCCATGGGCCAGAGCTGGCCGCCAAAGGGTCTAGTGCAGCCCACTAGATGACTAGAGTCAAGTTAAACAATGTGTTGCCTGCTTCAGAGGCTTCCCCCCTCTGACCAGAATACAGTTCTCTGATAAAACAATGAAAACTTACTGTGACCATGTTGAAAGACATTGAACATTTTGCAAAATATTCTCAATCAGCAGCTTCAGATCAAAAGAATCTGTATCAGGAAATGTGTGGATAAATGCACATGTAATGACAATGAGAAGTAGACTGACTGAACGTGGAAAAACTGAGACATACTTTTGAAATCGCACTTATTTTTCTTAAGACATCTCAGGCTGTTCGTCTGCTATGTAAAAGGAAGAACATCTACAGAACGTACTTGTAATTATTTAAAACATTGGAGCTGATGATACTACTAGGTTATTGTGCGATGGTTTTATTGGTTCGACCCATCTGAGATTAAACTGGGCTTGTGTTCTGACTGTGGAGTCGGTGGAGACCAAAACAAAGCTACAAGTAGAGTGAACATCAGACTTGTCAACTGTACACAAGCACTCCAAATGAATGCTAATGTTGCTCTGTGTCTGCTCTAGGGCTGCCCCCTTAATAGTCGACCAAACGTTAGTCAACCAGAAAGGTCATTAGTTGGCAAGATTTCATTGGTTGCTTAGTCGCAGGAAAAAAAACAACAACATGAAACTCTATTAGGAGCTGTCTCTCTTGTCAAAATAAATCAAAACCTACATGACTGGATCATATGGGAATTTAATTTGAAAGGACAGACACAGGAAGTGTCCACGCTCAGCAGTCAGACAGGAGTCAGGTTAATTTCCAGGGCTGGTACCTGCGGTTATTCCACAGGCTAGTTAATAACATGTCGGGCAGGAAATCCAAAGTGTGGGATCATTTTGAGAAGGTGAAGGACGAACCCAAGGTGATATGTAAACTCATCTTCATTGGTCGACTACAAACATGACGTATCATCTGAAACATGGAAGTAGCTACATGCCCATTAGCCCACAGCGTCATTAACAGGCGGCTCGCTCAGTGTGTGACGTGCACTTGTAGATAAAATATAGGCCTATATTAATGAAGGTTCATTAGTACGGTTTTGTATTTCTCTGTAATGTAGCACAGTGTTAACAATGTTACTGATACTATTCTTTATCACACCTTCAACTCAAACCATAAACGGAACAAATGATTGTTGCCGTAAAGAATGCGTGTTTTTTAACTGGTGGATATCTAATTTTTGAATAAAACATTTTGAATATCAAGTCATGAAAAGAAGACAAATTGGGGGAGTTGTGTTGAGATGAGACTAACAAAGCCATCTGTGGCTGGTGATTCAGGAGACCAATAATTCTTGCTTCTCCTACAAGAAAAGTTGCATGTAAAAAAAGCAGCCAAACAGGCTCAGCTGGGAGGCTAGTGAGCGGGTGGTGGTTGTCAGGCTGTGAGGCCGTGCCTGCCCACCATGGGGGTGTTTGGAGGGCCACCTGTCTAGAGAGGCCCAGGCATGTAGAGGCCCAGCAGTGCTATATGAAAGCAGATATGGGTCAACAGGTGTGTGCGCATGTGCATGTGTGTGTGTGTGTGTGTGTGTGTACTACATCAACTAAGATTGTGACAAACAATGTCAGCAGCAGCTGATGCCAGCCACTCTGTCAGGAGTTGTCCCTAAATAGCTGAGGCCAGCAGTTGTCTGGAGGACAGTTGTTGCAGCTCCTCGCACTCCCCCGCACCTCTTTACCGTAGAATATTTGACATTCCCATTTTTGGTCTTTAAGCGTAAAATAGACTGTTCCACTTTATTCTGATTGGCTTTGTCCGGCTCAACCCATCATAAAACACCTAATAAACACACACCTGTGATCCCACTAGAGTCAAGTAATAATGTGCTACCAAAAAAAACTCATACAGGAATCGAAAGGGAGTTGCTTGGAAGGATTACATTCAGTTTGTGTCATAGAATTATTGTTGGCTTATGAAAAAAGGATTTACATGATTTTTATGATTGTTGTGTGTAGGCAGTTTGGTATGAACGCAGGTCTGCTAAGGTCAGAGTAACAACAGCTATTCATGTTGAAAGTCACTGCTAAGCCCTCTCATTACTTAAGTATTGATTTGGTTTCCATGGCTTCCTGGTGGGAAATGCAGCAGTGATAAAAGTCCTCATCTTAAATGACCACACAGTAGTCGGGGCTCTGTTTTCAGGGTCCTCTGCATCCCCTTATCCCCAACTCAGAAAACGTGTTTTCTACACTGCCTTTCACAACAGCAACAGATACAGTACGCCCTTTGACCCCTTCTCTGTTTGGTCCGATCAAGGCGACATCACCCCATGGGATAATAAATCAACCAGAAGCCAGGAGGTTAGATTGACCCTTCGTGACCTTTGGCCTTTACGAGATTTCCCTCAGCCATATGTCTGTGGCTCACCGTGCCCCCATCCCTCCCCGCAGCCAGAGGAAAGCTCAGCGTCCAAGAGCAACAGCGCGAACCGGCACCGTTCAGATCCAAAGATACGTTTCACTGCTCAGTTTCACATCCTGGGACCAGCCAGCCATAGAAACCCCACCCAGGGCTGGCTATGCTAAGTGAGACTGCTGCTAATGCGTTGTTACGGCTGCTGCAGATTTGAGCAGAGGTCCGGGCACGCTTTGAGGGGGGGTACGAGGTGCTGTAGAGCTGGCAAAGAAAAGCTGGGGGCTTCTTATATAGGTCAAATTATTGGGGACTTTTCCCCCAGACAGGGAGAGAATTCCTGGCTAGGAACTGGAAAGACTTCAGTGGTGTGCTGGGGTTTGGCCCGCCGAGGCAGAATGTTAGGCATGGTGGACAGCTGCACCACGGAGCTACTGTAACACAGAGAGGGGGGCTGTTATTTCAAAACAACACAGAAGTGATATACTGTACACGCTTTGAATGTCAGTCTGGTGTTATGTTTAGATTTCTATAAGTATTTTTAATAAGAAAAGGGAAGTGAAAACAGAACATGAATGTAAGGCCTAAGGATTACTAGAAAAACTTGTCATGCAGTTCTGCGCAGTTTCACTATGACACACAACACAAATTCTCAGAAGTGAAGGAAGAATGGGGTTTCAGGGATGATGAGGAGATATAGTAGGCACTGGTTTCTAGCAACCATCAACTGCTATCGATATCCTGATCAACCTATGTCTCGTCTGTTATTTACAGTAGTGTGTTATTGACTGAATGAGGAAAGTAATAGGTCCTATGTGTGTGAAGCAAATAAGTGTCATTAGATTTTATACCTGCAAAAAAAACAAAATCCCCAAAACAGCAACACCGTCATTTGCAGTGAGTGAAAATTGAAAACAGAAAAATTGAATATTGGGAACCCAATGGACCACATCCACAGCTGTCCAGAGGCAGAGGTAGGTTTCATATGGTGAAGAGTCTGCTTTTCTCATCAAGCCCTGTGTTGGAGAACATGTTCACTCATTCTTATGGCAGGAATCTTTTCAACACCAGAACTGACTACCCTGCAGCGCGGAGGCCCCGGGAGCCTCCTGATGAGGGCAGCAGAA